ATTGTGAGCTGCTTGAGGGCAGGGATTATCTTTCGTCTCTTTGTATCTCAGTACTTAGTACAGTGCCTAGTACAGAGTAGGTACTTAGTAAATGTTTATTGACTGGATAAAATAAGTCCAAAACAACAAAAATATGAGTGGATCAAACACAGAATGGAAAGCTTAAGTACCATTAATGTCATGAATCACACAGTGGCAACATCAAGGGAGGTGACTAAAATTCTAACTTCTTTGCAAAACTAGAAAATAGAAGGTTTGGAGATGATCCATAATTATTGACTCAAACTCACCTACCTCCCCGTTCTTCCAAGCCTGATCTCATATTTCTTAATAGAAGGCATCACATTTTTATTAACAAAAGATGAGAATACCCACCACCCTTTCAAAGACAAACCTATTTATGTACTTAATATAAAGCATTCATAGCTTGTATGGCTCCAAAGAAACATGAACTCAACCAATAATATATTGATAAATATATAAACATCTATTTTAAAAAACAATATAGGATTAAAGATCAAAAAGAGTGACAAAAAGTCCCAGGTGTATAAAGAGCAACTTGTATATCAATTCAGTTATTTTTAAACATGGCACCTAAAAGTACAGAATTCAGATTAACCCTAATTTCGAGGTTGACTCATTGCAAGCATCTTTGAAACAACCTCCCATAACAGAAATGTCGGGGAGGACACATACCTCATCCCATTCCCACATGGTTTTAATTTCTTCCACTAAATCTCTATATTTTGAAAGCTTTTCATTCCATTTTGTAGGGACATTATTAGTATTTGAAATGGTGACTTCTGTTAAAAATATTGAGCGAAAATATTTATAGATCATTGTTACATCCAATTGGTTGAAGTCATCAGTTTTGTCTGTGATGATTCCCTGGTTCCAATACCGTTTATTCATTGAGTTCTCAAGACTGTTTTAGGGTTTGTACTTGTAGCACGGGAGTTTGTTGGCTCTTAATCTGTAAAGGGTGGTGAGCTTCTGGTACACAATTCTAACTACCTTTTCACATCTCTCCAAGTATCTGACACTAAAGTTTTGCAGCTTGCAGTGTTATGTGGCAGTTTCCATTATTTCATTGCATAATCTGCATTAATCAGTGAGTCCTGGCTTCCTAAAGATAACTCTTCTGTTGTTTCTCACAGCAATGAAATGATCCTGGATCACTATTAGACTTCTTGGTCAATATAAACAAATTCACACGATGAAGCCATTTTTTGGGATGCTTCTTTATCAATATATTATTGGTTGAGTTCTTGTGGATGTTGCCCATAGAGAGTCTTTTGATAACACTCTTGGATCTTGACTGTTCCATTGTGTCCATTTGGAGACTATTTGGTTACATTAGCTAAGTCCAATGTTGTGTACCTGCAGTTAGCCTTTATTACTGCTTTGTAAAGTGAGGTTTGTTTGCTCTCAGCAGCTCAGGCTCAATACACCTTGCTTGGAGAAGGCCAAGGTATTCCTAAGTATCACCTTCACCCACTGATTCAGTTGGACCTTTGTGTTCAGGCTCAAAGCTTTTGGTCTCTATTCTTCGTTGGTGTACATTAAGAATTTCATACTTATTGAGTCCAAATGACATTTTTATAATATCACTGGAAAAATTCCCACAAGATAAAGTACCCTATTTAACTTGTTTTTCAGTTAAAGTATATAATGTAAATTGATGATACCAATATACATTAAGTGATTCATGTATTGTTTTGACATAATTCTCTTCTACTTGAAAGCCATCAGAGGATGATAATAGGTTTAAGAATAGACACAACACTGGCAAGCTTAAATTGTCTCCCTGGAAGAGGCTGCTTTTTATATCATTGTTCCTGATATTATTGTGTTTGGTGATGTGTTTTAAATGAAGAACATTTTTCCATGTGAGCATTAAATTAGTCTAGCATTTTTACTAAACTTATATTTATTTTTTACTTTGACAGTGCAAAGGCAACATGATGTACTGGAGAGAGAGACAGAGAGACAGAGACAGAGAGATAGAGTTAGATAGATAGATAGAGAGAGAGAGAGAGAGAGAAAGAGAGAGAGAGAGTGATGGGTCTAGAAGAGGATTTGAACTTCCTGACTCCAAGCTGAAGCATCTGAATTTAAGCACCTGGCATATCCACAAGCGGCAGCTAGGTGATGCAGTGGATAGTGTTGGACTTGAAGACAGAAAGACCTGAGCTCAAATGTGACTGCAGACGCAAACTGTATTACCCTGGGCAAGTCACTTAACCTCTCCCAGTCTCGGTTTCTTCATCTGTAGATTGGGGATAATAAAAGTACCAACCTCCTAGGGTTGTTGTGAGGAGGATAATATGAGTTTATATTTATAAAAAGCTTTGCAAACCTTAAAGCACTATAATTGCTAGTTATTGTTATATCCACTATGCCACCTAGCTGTCTGATAATGTCATAAAGTCTTCACAAGTCTTCCTCAAAGGCCGTTATGGGTATGTCTTAAAAGAATGTCTGACTCACCCTCATTACGGCCATTTGTATGAGACAAGAAAGTCATGTAAAAAAAATCAAAATGAGACCTCAAATTGTAGCTCACCTCAAATTTTTCTGGTTAGTGAAAAGAGAATTTCTGGCCTGGTTTTTTACCTCTGTTTCCTTAAGATGAACATGTATCTACGGCTCTGGTGTTAATGGTTAATCTGCCAATTCCAGCTCTGTCCCCAGTGTCTCCTGACCAGTTTATCATGTTATCTCATGTAGCTCTTCTCCTTTTGGGACCTGTTCTTTGATGTGTAAATCTTTACCTTCTCCCTCTTCCCTATGCTGTATCACCCTGCCTACGTAACCAAATAATGCAGCTTAAGGCTGTTGCTTGGGGCCCACTGGCTTTTGGATACTGCGGGTCTATGTTCTGAGCATATCACAACCTGGTTTTTCCATATTTCTGCTTTTGGATGAGGACGTATTGATGAATCCTTGGAACCATTTCTGTCATAAGTATGACTGTGCCTCCTTTTACACAAGAGTATGGGGCCCAGGGATGTGTGATGACTTGTTCCTGCTCACCATGCTCCTAAAGGAATTCTTCTCAATCAATCCGAGGCACTCCCTGCTGTTCATCCAGATGGTATCCCACCATCCTCCCACACCTTTCCAGGGCAGGTGAAAAAACAGTGATGACACTTTGCGTTTACTAACAGCTGGAGTGCCTACAGTGCTTTAAGGATTGCAAAGCACTTTCAGTACCTAATCTTATTTGACCTTTATAGTAGCCCTCTGACTTCAGCGATTATCCCAATTTCACAGATGAGCAACCGAGGCTAAGAGAGTTTAAATGACTTGTCCATGGTCACGCAACTAGTAAGCATCAAAAGTAGGATTCAAACTCAGGCCTCTCCTGATTCCTCTATCACTCTATCTTCTACACCAGACTTATTAACTATGCTATCCAGCCATATGAAGCTGTGCTGGCAAAATCAGATTATAAAATAATTGGGAAGCATTTACAAAATAAATACAAAAACAGCAAAATGGAGATAATATTAATTTTAAAACTAAGTCAAGGTGCAGCTCACAAATGCCTTCTTCTATTGATTAGTGGCCTCTATTTCTACTTGAGTTTGACACAACTGGCCTAAACCCTACCACTTCTCACTTATATAGCTCTATAGACATTTCAGGGGGATTTTACTTTAGAGCATCATCTACAAGGTAAGGAAAGGAATATTCTACTCATTTTATGTAAAAGGAGACCAAGAATACCACACAGTTAATGATGGATAGGAACTAGATCTCACTTCTCCCGATTCTTAGCCCAAAGACTTTTGTGGTTGATGTTGGGGGTGGAGCAAAGATTCAGGAGCCAGGTGGCTTGTCTTTGAAGCCCAAAACTCAAGGGAGGGAAGGGTACTTCTCTTCCAAAGAGAAAGCCCATGTGAATAACAGCCACTGACACTAATTAACATCAATCTAAATTAAACAATCGACAAAAATTTTGTGGGCAGAGAGTGGCTGAGATTGAACTTGGAGTCAGGATGAACTAAGTTCAAGCCCCAGCCAGACACTCACTAGCTTGGTGACCCTGGTCAAGTCACTTAAGCTCTCTCAGCCTCTGTTTCTGCATCTTTAAAAAAAAAAAAAAAGCATCCACCTCAGATGGTTGTTGTGAAGACCAAATGAGATAACATACGAAAGTGCTTCACAAACCAAAGCACTATAAAAATGCTAGGTGAGTCAGACATTCTTTTAAGACATACCCATAACGGCCTTTGAGGAAGACTGTTGAAGACTTTATGACATTATCAGGCAGCTAGGTGGCATAGTGGATATAACAATAACTAGCAATTATAGCGCTTTAAGGTTTGCAAAGCTTTTTATAAATATAAACTCATATTATCCTCCTCACAACAACCCTAGGAGGTTGGTACTTTTATTATCCCCAATTCCAGTTGTGTACAGACACAACTGGAATTAAGTGCTTGCTTACTTTGTGCCATGCACTGTGGCAGAACGAATATAAAGAAGGAAACAGCCCCTACTCACAAAGCGCTTCTATTCTAATGGGGCAGATAAGTACATATATAAATATAAATGGAATAAAGGGCAGTTAGGTTGTACAGTACATAGAGTGCCAGGCCTGGAGTCAGGCCCCTCAACTTCCTGGGTCCAAATCCAGCCTCAGACACTTACTAGCTGTGTGACCCTGGGTGAGTCATTTAACCCTGCTGGCTTCAATTTCCTCATCTGTAAAATGAGCTGGAGAAAGAAATAGCAAACCACTGCAGTATCTTTGCCAAGAAAACCCCAAAAGGGGTCATGAAGAGTCAGACACAACTGGAATGACTGAACAACAACAAAAAAAGGGAAATACACACCAAAGTAGGTTTGGGAGAGGATGAGATGTGTGTCACTAATGCCCCTTAGACCCATGTCACCATGAGAACCAGCAGGCACAGAGATTTTCCCACTTGATCCCATGTTGTCTACCCACCCTTTTCCTTATTATGTGACAGAAAAGTCAGGGAACTCACCTTGAAGCCGGCCTGAGACAGGAAGCTTTTGTAGGTTTGCCACACATCAGGTGTCTGGAGACCTTTGGCCTTGTCACTCTCTACCGGGTCCATTACCATTACCTGGAAAGCAGATGGGAAGAGTTGGCCTAATTATCACCCGCACCAATGATTTTATGATAGGCTGCACCCAATCAAAGAAATCCCCAAGGACCAAGGAGGGAAGTATTCATGGCCCTTCAGTTCTACTGGGAATAGAATGACAGAGTTGTGGATTCAGAGAATATCTGAGTTGGAAAGGACCTAAGACATCAGGTAATCACAGAATCACCCAACTTGAGAGCTGGAAGGAACCTTTGTGGCCATTAGTTCAACTCCTACCCAAAAGAGAATCCCAGTTAAAACATCCTCAACAAGTGTTTATCCAGCCTTTGATCAAAGACCTCCAATGATGGAAGGCTACCACCACCTGAGGCAGCTCACTCCACTTATTTTACTAGCACCAGGAGTTTGAAAGTTGGGAGCTTTCTCCCCCGACATGAAGCCCAAACCCCTCACTTCACAGATGAAAAAGCTAAGACCCAGAGAGCAGGAAATAATTCACCCAAGGTCTTATCTAATCAATGGCAAAACAGCACTAATTAAATTTGGTTTCTGTGAAAACACTGTATAAATGTTAGCTATAAGTGATTATTTGAAGGAGAGTGCATGAATGAGGACAAATAAAAATTTTCCAGTTTGTCATAGGGAGAAACTAGAGCACAGAGAAAATGGTGTCCAGGCTCACAGAACTGAACCCAGGAACCCAGTTGTCCCCTACTCTCTTCACTGGGGTAAAAAAAATTATAGCCTCCAAGCCTTCCTTCTCCCTAGAGGTCTGCAAGCAAAGCTTAGATAATGATATGTTGGGGATGTTACAGATGCTATAGAAAGAATTCCTTTTCTGCACTGGTCTCTAAGGTCTCTCATTCCTAGATGAGATTCTGGGATTTCTGTGACTTCAGAAGCTCCCTGACTTCTTTATCCCTTAGCCCAGGGCCTTGAAGGTAGTCTTACCGAATTTGGCTCATAAGTATCCAAGGGTAGCAGCTTCAAAATGGACTCCAGTAGCTGTGGGATGCCCAAGCCTGCAACCAAAAGATAGCCAAGACAGCCTCAGTGGAGCCAGACAGTGGGGCCGGCAGGGCTAAGCAATAAAGGCTACGAGCAGAGGCTTCTGGGACAGTGAAAGCTGACTACAGCTTCATCCAACCTGCCTGGTGAAGATGTATGGTGGCTACAATACTCTTCAAAGCACCTTTCCATCTAGTACTTTATGAGAATCTGAGAGCAACCCTGTAACCCAAGGGAAAATTTTAAAAAATTAAAAAAGCTAATTCGATCTTGGACTATGCTAAGTTAGAGCTCTGAAGACCAAAGGGGTGGTGATGATGGTCCCAATGCACTCTGCCCTGGTCAGGCTACATCTAGAGTGTTGAATTCAGTTCTGATCACCACAATCTAGGAAGGACATAGATAAAGGGAAGGATGTTTAGAGGAAAGAAAGCAGAAGGGTGAAAGGCCTTGGGTTTATACCACATGAGGAACGGTGGAAAGACCTTGAGCTATTTCACTCGGAACAGAGAGGATTTGGGGGGTGGGAGGGGCAGGGACACAATAGAGGTCCTCAAATACTTGAAAAGCTACCCTGTAAAAGAGTATTGAGAACTGTTCTGTTGGGGCAGATCCCAAGCAGAACTAGGAAGAGTGGGTGAAAGTTGCCAAGAGGCAAAATTGTGCTTGACCTCAGGAATCAATCAATCAAACAAACAAACAAGAAACATTTATTAAGTGCCCACTCTGTGCCAGGCACTGTGCCAGGCACTGGAGATACAAAAAGAAGCAAAAGACAGTCCCTGCCTTACTTCTAATGGGAAGAAGCACCTGACAAACAGAGCTGCCCCAAAGTGAAGCAGGCTGCTGCAGGAGCTCACAGGTGTCCCTTATTAAAGGTCTTCAAACAGAGGCCAGATGACGGCTCATTGGGTATTTTGTAATGGGGATTTTTCTTCCCTACTAGGCAGCTAAGTAGTGTGGTGGATAGAGTTCAGGATATGGAGTCAGAAAAATCTGAGTTTGAATCCTGTCTCAGATATTTACTAGCTGTTTGACCTTGGGAAAGTGACAACCTCTCTCAGCCTCAGTCTCCTCATCTTTAGAATGGGGATAGTAATAGTACAGGATTGTTGTGAGTATTACAAGAGATAATATATATGTATATTTATGTGTATATATATATATATATAGTGCATTGCTAATCTTAAAGTTCTATATAAAAACTAGTTGTTATTTTTTTTATTATTTATGCAGCTAATGTCATTAAGTTAGCACAATAGAAAAAGCATAACATGGTGTTAAAAGACCTAGGCTAGAGTTCCATTTTTGCCATGTACTAGATCCACATAGCGTCAGTTAGTCAATCAACTTTATCTTTAGAAAGCATATATGCTTACAAAACGCATGGCATGCATGAATGACCTCAACTGATCACAGGGCTCAGAGAAAATGCATGAAGAATGCCTGTGAAACAGAATTATTTCTCAAAGTCACCCTACTAGGTAAATAATAATAATAGTAGCAAACACTTACATAGGATTTTAAGGGTTACAAAGCACTACACATTTTCTCATTTGGTCCTTACAACAACCCTGTGAGACAGGCACAATTATTTTTAATTTTTAATTTAGTGTTTTTAGCATTCTTTTCTTTTTAAATTTTGAGTTCCAAATTCTCTCTCCCCGACACCCACTGAGAAGGCAAGCAATTTGCATGTGAAGAAATAGATGCTATTATTATTGCCTTTTTACAGCTGAGGAAACTGAGGCAGACAGAAGTTAAGTCCCTTGCCCAGAGGCACAGTCAGTAAGTGTCCGAGGATAGATCTGAACTCAGGTCTTCCTGGTTCCAAGTCCAGGGCTCTTGCCCTTTGTGACACCCATTAGAACAGAAGGATAATAGCTTCAGAATTAGGAGGTATGTCAGAGGTCATCTAGACCAACCCTCTTTTTCTTTTTTCTTTTCTTTTCTTTTTTTTTTTTTTACAGCTGAGGAAATTGAGGCCCATCGAATTTAAACAACTTGTTCAAAATCATCCCAATAGTAAGTGGCAGAGCCAAGGTTTGAGGCCAAGATCTCAGACTCCAGGCTCAGCAACCTAATCTGTTGTACCACAGCTAATAAATGGCAGCTGAGACAGGAACCCACTCCTTTTTTTAATGTGCCACCTTTCTATTATGCTTTAAGGTTTGTGATGTTTTGCAGATATGGTATCATTTACTCCTCACAACAAGCCTGTTACTTAGGTATTACTATCATCCTCCTTTAACAGATGAGGAAACTGAGGCTTAAATGACTTGTCCAGGGCTACACAGCTAATGAGTGCCTGAGGGAGAATTCAAACCCAGTTCTTCCTCACTCCAGTCCAGTCCTCCCTCTCCAGCAAGCCACAGATGTTCTCTGACCCACTTCTGACACCACATTCATTTTCCTTTACACTACTTTTAAGCATCTCAGAGATAAAAACCATCCACTGTTAGTTGACAACAAATCTGAAACCTTATCAATGAAAGATAAAGTGGATTTTTTTTTTCACTTTGATCCTTGTGTATCTGGGGATGGGGTAGGAGGAAAGCAGGGACTCACCATCTGCTCTGACTTCCACTGGGCCATTCCGGCATATGGAAGAAGTAGGAAAGTTGGCATCGGCAAGAACTGAAAAAGGCAAGAAGTATGAAGTCATCATTATCAGCCACAAAAAATACAATAGCCTAGATCACGGGAGCAGAGGTTTATAGCTGAAAGGAATCTTGGACACCATCTGACCTAATCATCCCATTTTGTAGATGAGAAAGTTGAGGCCAGAAGCTAGTGCATTTTGCCCAAGTGGAAGAGCTGGTAGTCAAACCCAGGTCCTCTGGCCAAATCCAGCCCTCTTGCCACTGTACCATACTATGCAATAGCTGAGTGGTGGGTATATGACCACTCAAAGGGGTGGGCTAAGGAAGATCTAGACCAATCAGAAATAAGAGGTCCCCTACTCTCAGGTCCTCTCAACCACGAAAAACTGAGCAAGGTAAAGGACTTCAATCAAGCAATCAACAGCAATAATCAAGCCTCCTCTATGTGCCAAGCACTGTGCTAAGCACTGGGGATACAAACATAAAAAAATCATAAAATCTCTGTCCTCAAAGAGCATATACTCTAATGGGGGAGAAAACATGCACATACATAGGTCTATTTAAGATACATATAAAATAGTTTTAAGGTAATATTCGAAGCTGGAAGCACTAGAAAGGGTCTCTTGCAGAAGATGGACCTTAAGCAGAGTCCTGAAGGAAACCAGAAACTCCAAAAGGCAGAGATCAGGAGAAAGGACACCCCAGGTATGGGAGACAATGAGAGCAAAGTCACTGAGATGAGAGTTGGATAGCAAGGAAGTCACTATAGCTGGCCCGTAGAGCTTATGGAGTAAGTAATATGA